GCGAGTTCATAAATCGCATGCGCGTTAGAATCGAGTACGAACAAAAAAATTACGGTCAATCTATTGCCATCGCAAATCCAAATGGCCGCCCCCTACGTTGTCGCATAGCGCGTCGGCCATTTTCTGCCAATGTGTTTCCCATATGCGGCACTTCGTACGTGAGCTGAGGAGTTCGTCATCTAGTAGTGCATTAGCATCGACGGTGTGGAAGGGCCGACTCCAAAAACTCGAGTGCACCACGATGCCGCTTTTAAAGAAAAGTCATCGCGTGTGCAGAAACGACGGAAATCGGGCCGCATCGCGGTTGTTCGGAGTTCCCGAAACGTGCGTGCGGGACCGGCGGAAACAATAGCAGAAGATTGTCGACAGCAAAGCTTCACGCAAAGGCTCAGTGCACCACACCAGGGTCGGTTTCCGCAAATTGAAGAGCTCTCGGCGAGTATGTGCTTGAACAGCGAGCGGCACAGCCGCCCGTGACGACAGAACTGCTCCAAGTGCGGGCTATGCAATTAGTCTTAGCAAACGGTCTAATGCGGAGCCAGTTTAAAGCGAGCAGGTGCTGGCTAACTAACTTTATGAAGACGAAAGGCTTTTCCCTCCGAAGGGGTACACGCATATGCGAAAAGTTTTGCGGAGGAGTACGATGAAAGCTTCACAGTTTTCAGAGGTTCGTCCTAACTTGCGGCGCAACAACGGCTACCTGCTTGGGCAAATCAGGAATGCGGATCAACGCCTCTTTACTTCGACATGCCTGGCACCACAACTGTCGAGAAGAAGGGGCGAGGCAAGTTCGCGTGCTGACATCGGTCCACGGTAAAACTACAGTGACGGCAATGCTCTGTTACACGTCAGATGGGCACAAGCTTCGCCGTACCTCATATTTAAATGGAAGACGCTCCCGAAAGGAGTAGTTTTTTCGAGTGGTGTGATCGTGCGGGCCAGCGAGAAAATTGGGTGCGCGTTGCAATCGATGTTTTACGGGTTTTTTTTTTTTCGTCGTGGAAATCGGTGCGCGTTACAATCGAGGGCGCGTAAGAATCGAGTAAATACGGTAGTCGATTTTCTTGTTACGCATATGCAAATATTAGAGCACTCCAGATATCCAAATGAATATTCCAGTATTCAAATTCACTTCGACATCCATTCATATTATTCCAAATTTCAAAGTATTCGAAAGTAACGATAGTTTTATTAATCACAAGTAAACCCTTCTAAGGATGGTTTCACTGCAGCAAAGAGGTGCTATACTGAGAATAGCCTACTATTCAGAAGGATTCACATTGCCACAAAGCCCATTTTAAAGGTTTAATGAACATTGCGTACTTACTCGCATAATTTGCGCACTTTTTTTCGCAATTTAGGGGCTCTGAGAAAAATATGCATGCACATATTTGCACATTCCTAACAGGAACATCTGACTATCAGATGCTGAGACTCTTTAGTGATGTCTCGTTGCCCTGTAGGCCACAACAAGCAAAGCAAACATAAAGAAGTCATTATTCTGCAAAAAAAGATAGTCAGCCAGATTGGAATGTTGAATGATTTGAAATAACACGTAGAGCTTACCAAGAATTTCATATAATACAAGCTAACACCTCTACACATTTCGCTTATTGCAGCACTTTATTTCTCAAATAGGAGCTCTCCAACTTCATTATCCCTGTAAAGCCTAGAACATCGTCTCATTACATTCCCACCGAAATACAGATACTTGGTTCGTACCGCATTTCCGCACTACAGATAGCACCAAGCTTTTTCCTACACATTTCCAACACTTTTTTTTGCACATCCAGGTGTGCAAAAAAAAAAACGCTCTCACGTGCTTGTGAAGCGCCAAGTGGCACAATGGCGCCGCACGGTAATGGGGATTCCTTTGTTGCGTTAAATTGTACCCCCTCTTCCATACAGACACCCATCTGAGCTGCCAAAGTCTTCAAACGTTTTCAAAAAATGACTTATTTTTTATGCCATGATGATTTTCGCGATTTAGCGAACCTGTAAAGCTGCCGAATCATCGGTACACATTCGCTGCTGGCACTCGGCCTCCCGGGCCTGTTTTCATGCCCGTACTGCCCTTTCGGCCCGGGGAATGGGAGCTCTCTTACGTTTCCACTGTCGGTGCTCTGCAATAGTTTCCATGGCCTACCCATGTGGATGCCGAGAACTACGTAACTGATATCGCAGCCAATGGAGACCACTCTATTCTCTGACATCGATGCGGAACAGTTTAGGGATATGCAGGCTGCGCTGGGCCCTGTGCAAGGCTGCACGTTGCTCATATGCATAGTTCGCGATTCGAGACAGTCACATCTGGCATGGCGTCGAAGAAGCACAAGCCATTGTGGATTAAAGAAGCTGAATATCCTTGCGGTCGTCAATAGGAACCTGAAGAGAAAGCGAATTGACATAGCGACAAACTTGGACTATCAGTGTGTACTGTGAATACTGTGGTGTCGAAGCAAAAAGAGATTGAGATGAATGCCTTTTTATTCGGCGGCGCAACAAGTGAGCTCGTGGAGGCCATCATGGGGACTAGAAGCAAGCACAGGCCTCCAGGGTCAACTTTGATGGCAGCATGCAGCTGTTTCAGGAAGTGCTGTCTTTGGTGGCAGCTTGCATCAGAGGATACAGAGTGCCGCGAAAACGACCCGGTGATGTGAGAATCTGGCACAACGACGAATCGATGAGGAGTTCCTCTCCACCGGTGGCGATGCACAATGCGCCAAATTCGTCTCGATAAACGACAACGTCCCGACTTGCAAGCGGCGAAGTGTCTCCGAGATTGTCGCAGAGGTGGTGAAAGGCGAAGCAGCAGAGGATGTGGAGACGAGGCACCAAAGACAGCGGTGAGAACAAAAGCGTGCGCCGACTGCTAACTTCGCCGAAGCCCTTGTTAGACTGCAAGCTTTAAAATCTTCTTTTGCAGAAAAAACAATGAAAATGGGACAAGGGTCTGCAATGTGTGCAGAAGGAGCTTTTCTAGTCTAACGATGAGAGGCAGCATATGGACTTGTCAGCCTCATTTTACTGGATTCGGATCAAGCGTTCTTCCAGATGATAGTTTATTTTCGCCGTCTTTTTTTTCCTTCTCTATTGTATATACATTTTTTTTAGTTGTACATGTCAGTGTATACGATGGTTTACGCATGGTGTATTTTGCTTTTTGGAAACCCTTTTTCTTACCCATTCACAAGAGGTGTTGTGAAATAATCAGTCAGGAATCATTTTTAAATTAGGATGTATGTTCATGTTTTACGTTGTACTTGCATGTTGTATACTTGCAATCGTTTCCGCACTACTGCCATATGTACACACAGGTCACCATGACCTTTATCAAGGCGTTTCACGGCTTTTAGCCTTGCGACCTTCCAGTTTTGTCTGATAAATAACAAAATTTAAAAGTAAATAAAATTTAAGGCCGATGCGCTTTGGGAGAGCGGTGACAGGGGCCGCATGATGATTCCCAAAGCACATCGGCCTCGGTGTTATCAAGCGCGTTCAAATGCCTCGTTTTCTTGAAGCTCTTGTCGACAATGTTGGGAAACTAGGTCCCATGACATGTCGACACCGGAGAACCCAAGCGTTCGCACAAAACGGAAAAACCGTAAATGGCAGGAAATTTGTATTACTAAGCACGCACAATTCTGCTTTCTCCAGCACCAATTGCGCCGACCGTCACACTAAGAACTTTACGCTGAAGTGCTTGGCGGCAGCACGATTCCAGTTTTCTTTAGAAAACATTATAACAGTGAGCTTAAATTTTGCCGTATATGTAATTACTCTAGCCCATCGCAACGGAATCTTAAAAACGGATCGGCCGGATGGAGAAACCTCAACTTCCGAAATTAACCAAGCGTGCGTTGTAGTGTGGACGCAGAGAACAGAAGAACAGTTGAGGCGACGGGCCGTTGCACGCCTCCAATGCAGAAAGTTGTTCGTACTTTGATGCGAACGCACATTCTGTAGAGATGAGGAGATAAATGCAGAGTTAGAGGGAGGCAAACGCTCGAACAGTTCTGGCTACTCAACAACAGGATTGAGTGTTCGGGTACGGTATTCTAGGGACCCCGATTGGGGGGAACCTACAGAACAGGTACTTCACACTTGCAGCGAGTTTGACTGCACTTGCCTGCTCGACAAGGTGCGTGCCCAGCGCCCGTCTGAAGCATTCACAGGTCCAAAGTCACTTCGTGCGCACGCAGGTGAGCTGGCTCAGGCAGGTCGGGGAGCGCAAAATATGTGAGTAAACATATTTTTGTACTAAAGCTGGCAAAATATTAGGAGTGTGCAAATTATGGGAGAGAATACAGAATTATCCTCACAGTGATTCATCATTCTCTTAGGTTTAAAAGCATGTTATGCAGGATGATATGCTTCCAGTAAACTTTAAAATAACGCATTTTACAGGTGATCATTGGCTTTCTGCTGAAAGTCCAATCCGCTACTATTCAAAGTAGCACTTTTTGGATAACATGTGGTGTATACTACTTTCAAATTTCATTCAAACGTTCAATCAATCATTATTCACTTTGTATTTTCTTTGAACCAAAAATTTAATCTTCGCACATGCCTATCTGAAGTGAGACCATGTGTATGTTGTTTAATTAAACTCCAAACAAACAATATAAGGATTACAGAAAATGCATTTCCAATGAGCAAATGAGCAGATCCCTCCCTTTATCTACGTATTCATCATGGGAGACTTGCCATGAGGAAAGGGTGATTTCTGACCGTCTTTGACGCAATACTGTGAATTCTCAGCTCCATAATATTTGGCACATATAGACAGGCACCCTGACAAGTTATCAGCAGCATTCTCTCACCAGTGTCAGAACATGAGTCCTGCAGGGCCTTTTTAATATACCTGAATTTTGCACGACGGCAATAAACCAAGAAATGATGCAAGGCCCATTACCACGAGTTACATGTAACTATATTGCTAGCTCCATTTTGACAGGTAACATCATTAAGACGAGTTTGAAAACAAAACACAAACTTGCCTGTGCCAACACTGACAATGTACGCCAGTAGATTTGCAATGGCCATTCTTTCTGAATCCATGGGTTGTGTTCAGATGAGTCAAGAGGCCATCCTATATATATAAAGAGGGTAAGCGAACACAAACAAACCACTCTGATAAAGGAAGAAGCTGTTAGAGGTTCTGAATATAACTGCTACTATAAAATTAAAGAAATAAAGAAGCTTTTAGTAATTAGCTTTCTATACTTTGTTAATGTATCAGAAAAATATGAACTGTTTAAAATGAAAATAGGACTCTCCAAATCAGTTTTTGCTTTGTGTCTAATACTGCAGCGAACTTAACTTATTAAAAATTATGCAGCACTAACATTGCTCAGCCCATCAAAGAGTTCAGCTTAACAGAAGTGGACTCACTTGAAATGGTCAGATAAAACGGCTATACAGGGTTTTTTTTGTGTTTTTTTTTTGACAATACAGAGGCTATGATTGTCCGGTTCTGTCATCTTTGCAAACGAACTTGAAGGTGGAAAAACTTTGGCACACGTTAAGTTCATTGAATCAATATTAACAAAACATGTTAACTTTTAAATAATTACCTTGGGCGCAGATCATCAGTACATATCAAACAATTGGGCAATACACACCGAATGTAAAGAACGAGTGGTCCAGTTGGGTATTTGTGATAATTTGACGTTTTTCATGACTAGATTCTGCTGTGACACACTGTTTTTCAAAACTGGTGACGAGTTACAGTTTGAGGAAACCCAGCTATCGTACTTTCCGCGCCCGGTGCACTCAATTTCAATATTTCAGGATCAGGACTTTGAATTTCAATATGCAATACGCCAAATTACGAGAGTTTCTCAAGATTTAAAAAAATGGGCATGCCATGAATTGTCGCATCCTACAACTTTTTCATATAAATTGCCCTCAAAATAAGGATGAGAGAGTCGAGTTTATGTTATTCAATAATTTGAATAACTTTGATGTAGCAAAGCTTTTTTTGCGGTGGCGTAGGTTCGTTTGAAAAAACTAGTATTTTGTTTAAAATCTGTATTGTATAAAAAAAGAAAAAAAAACTTACACACACAACTTTCAACATCACGTCAAGTACACTACTGACCTTTCCTGTCGATGCAAATGCTGAACGGCAAAATGCACATTTAGACACATGTAGACTGAGAAAAGGCCACCCCCCAGTAAAGCCGTTTGCGCCTCGGGGAGCGCACATGTCTCACGAATAGGCGGCATTTAAGTTTAACAGATCGCTGGCACAGCGTGCGTGTGGGTTCACTATCATCATCATGGTTAGCACAGTAGTGCCAGCAGAGCCACCCGGCAGAAAGACTATGTGGCCTAACAGAAAGCAATACAAGAGTTTGACGTGTAGCAGCTGGCGCGAACAGTAGTCTTCCGTGGTGGGTCCATGGGAGCGACACTACGGGTCGTCTCTTGGCTCCATTGTGGCGAGTCAGTGGCGCTGCCTTCACATCATTACCTTGTGCTTGTTATGTTAATTGAGTGCCGTATTGAAAATATTGTGTAAGGTTGTTTTAGCATATCACTAGTGACATTTCATTCAGCTGGCATATTGTCGATGTAGATGTACTTGAATAAAGGTACAGGATGTGCATGCTTTAGCTTAGTTCAACTGCGTTTGCTGTGTCCGTTCGCTTTGACAGCGTGTTACCTCATATCGATATCCCACAAGATTGGTTTTCCTTTGATGCTTTTGTACACAAGCACCAGTTTAACTGGATGCTTCATTATATTGCCGGAATTTTCCAGCCTTAGAAAAGAGAACCTTATTTGCATAGCACTTCACATTATCTATTTCCATAACGCAGCAAAACTTGTCAGTTTACTGGTAGACGTCATCCAACAAGCCAGTGGCCAATACATTATGAATGAACCTAGCCAGTGCTCTTGAGAAGTCCTCATACAGTTGGCCCAGAGAAACTCCAAACAAAAGACCAATGTGCCTGTAGAATATAACACATAATTAGTTGAAATTACATACAACCAAATCTGTTTTTAAAATGAACATGCTATGGCATAAAGCCTTACTCATCTGCTCCCATGTTTGGGGCCTTGCATCTAAATCACAAACAAAAATATTATGCAACAAACATATTTTATCTTTGACGTTTACAATCCCAAAGTGACTCATGTTATGAAAGACGCTATTAGAGGGCACTAAACTATTTTTGCAACATGGTGTTTTAACATGCATTGATTACGCACAACACACGGGCCTTCCTCTTTTCACGTTCACTGAAATGCAACCACTGTAGCACAGTTCAACATGTTTTTTTTGGATTAGAAGAAGTATGAGTTGCATTAGTCTCTACCCAAGTGCACCCACTTGACGCTTGCATTGATGTGTTCTGCAATAAGGCAAAGCGAAGGGAGACATAACCTAATCTTGTTGTACAGTAGAGACTACATATAACAGCCCCACTAAAAACGAATTTTCACTTAAAACGAACGATAGCCACGTGACCGCGGAAAGTATATTATTCAATGGCACAAAATCGCACTTACAACGAACGTCTCCGAGCACTGCCGATCGATTACAGCTAACGAAGTTGGCAATCCGGCAAATTCCCGCGAAACCACTTTCAACCGCTGATAAGCCATCAGCGAGGCCCATAGATATTCATTGTTAACCACCAACCCTATCTCCGCAGCCCTCTAGCTGTCGCTCTCCCCAACCGCATTTTGTTAAGCACCCCTTCAGCCTTTGTACCTCCTCTACTCGATCTGAGCACCCCGCATCGCCAGACAAGGCATGTGTTATCACACTGCCACCGCAGGTTGACTTGTCTCCCCTCAGTTTTAGATCACTGGTCTTGCTACACTATTGTTGGCGTCACCAGCCTAGAGTGACCAGGCCATCTACCAACATAGTCAGCCGCCGACCGTACCTCACCGTCCGAGTCTGTGTCGTGTCTAAATCGGTGAATATTATTCCAGTGCACGTGCTTGCGCTGCTCAACAACTGATAATGCGCGATTCGTTTCGTGTTAAGTACGTGTTCGCGCGCTCACTTTCCATTTCACTCAGCATGCTCTGCGCACGAGTGCAGAAGCGTAAAAATGGCTGTTACACAGAACGAATCACAAATTATGAAGTTGGCGGGGCCACGCAAGCCCGTAGGCTTGTCACAATCCAATTCTTTGACCTCTGTGTATTCAGACCACTCCCTCAAGTTTTCCTATGCGTTTTCCAGCGCGTTTCGTGGATCTTTCAAGCAAGCTACTCGACCCGCCTTTTCCCAGTTTGTTTTGGTTTTCAAGGTTGCCTTTCCCCCGTCTGCTCTCCTCTCTTTACTCTATTGCAACCCTTTAACCGTCTCTACTGCTCTGCAACGCCAGCCACACTGGTTATGATGGCTCGATGTCAGAAGTTTCTTTTCTGGCTAATAACGGGTCCAGAGCAATCCCATGCGTTCTGGCTTGTATGTCGGCGTGCACGTCTGCACACTCTTGAGTGTGTGTGTGGTCAGGATGGTGAACGAACGCCTTTCGCACTTTTTCCTGCTGCTCAACAAAATGTCAAAAGTGGAATCACTTGGCTTGGGCATGATCCGCCCGTTAAGACTTATCATAGTTGCCTCACAATGGCGACAGCTACATGTGTGTGAAACTTCTCGCAAGGCGAACTTCGTCGACGTCGGGTCCGATGAAGAGCCTGAAGCTTTCGAACAGGACCACTCCAGCGGCAATTAGCGGCAGCATCGTCAACACCCACATGGCAGGGCGGACATCTGCTGCGATGATTTCATTACAACGGATGACGATGCCAACATTGTGGAACCGTGCATGAATGAAGCACTGTGAATGAAGGGCATAGCGATCAAAGCGAGCAAGAGCGATCTGAAGGAATCGAATGATGACGATAAAACTTTGAAGCCGTTCCCATGAGCGTGCCTGCAGCAATTGGCTACATTATCAGCCTTGGGCAGCTCGCATATGCCGAAGGCCTCGGCGAAGAGCACGCTGTTGCTTTGAATAATTTTGAGACCACCTCAACTGCTTCTGCAGTTTCAAACATGCGCTTTACACTTTTTTGTGAAAAAAACTTTTTGTTTTTACTCGGAACTTCTTTAAAAGCTGTGTTTCATTTACTACGATTCGGGGATACAGCGAATGAATGTTGCATCACGCTCAGGTTTGTCGTAAGCGGGCTCGAAGGTATTTCAGTTTGAAAAATGTCTCTTTTCCAATTGCTTACATATTACCACAAAGTCTGCTACACAATAACCTATCGGTCAGATTTCAACTTTGTCCACAATTTCATAAGAATGTTTGTTTTATTCATCCTGCACAATTTTACCCTGCAAAATTTAGTACATAAACTTATAAAGGCCGAAATGTGATTATATTATTCATAAAGGAACCAGTGCTTTTCTAAAAAAAATATTAAACATTCAGCATATTACTATGTTTCGTCTTAGCCAAAATTAATGAAAATTGAAACAAAAAGAATTCTTTATTCACATTGAGGCAAGTCGCGTGGGCCTGCAATGTTGGCACGGCATCAGTGTCTAAAACGTTTTCGTATTTATTCAATAGCTCCAAGCCACTCTTCTACAACCTTGCTATCCATTCCCTAACCTTGCAATCATAGTTTGCCATATACATGTTTTGCATCATGGAAGCTAGTGATGCAAAGATTATGTGTAAAATGCTGATTGAGATGCATTATGGGCATAATGCATTGAGATGCATTATGAGATGCTATGCAAGTGCACCTGCACATATTTTCAGAAACAACTACAGAGCGCTGTGTAGCTGCAACTATACTTTGAGCTTTCAGAAGCACTTCATGAATATGGTTGAGGTTTATTTATGTCCTAAAGCGCCACAGTGGTTAGGGGAAGCACTATGTGCAAAGTTCTTGTTTCGATTCGCAAAACAGCCACATGAAGGGTTTTTTGAATATGATTAATTCCACTTGAGGCAAGATAATGTCATGAACGACTTCTGTGCTGTGTGCAGGCAAAGATATATTTAAAATAAAAAAATGAAAGTGAAATGAAATTATAGTAGCTTCCACTCAATCATCAGTTACATTTTGAGGCAGTAAGTGCAACTACACAGTCACATTTTTAACAGGGGTAACTGCAATACTCTACTTTTTTTAATATCTACCGTGGAACTTCGATTATACGTCCCCTGCTCACGACAACCCGCATTTAACGAAGAATCAGTTTGGTCCCAGCAAATACCCATAGAACTAATGTATTAATATCTTGGTAACGACACAGTTTTACGCCGACCCCGCATCTTCCAACCTTCACATTCCATCGGGGAAAAAAAAAGCCACCTTTACTCGAATCAACGTTCGCCCAATTATTCACGAGTGCAAAATATGAACTTGCGTCCCCTAGGTTGACGATTGCAAAGGTAGAGAGTGAGACAGGATGTCTTCTTAGAATCAAAATTGTTCTCCTGGACGTTCTGCACTTTTACATAAGCCTTGAATGCATGCGTACGTATCCGGGGTCGTACCTATCTAGCTCTGTCTTACAGAGTAGCTTCAGTTGGCCAAGAACTGATATTTTAATGTTTTTAATCAGTGGAAACTTCCTGGTCGCATACGGCTGACCTCCTGTCTTTGTTGCACTCACAGCCACAGGCTTGCGCACGCATAAGGGTGCAACACAGCCATTTTCACCTTGCAAAATTACTTTCACTTTACGTCAACATTTATAGTAACAGTGGGACGCCACTAGTTGCACTTCCCAAGGCAACAAATTACAATGCGCACATCTCAGTTGCACACAAAGGCATTCTATGCAAACTCGTGGTCCGTCGCCATTATGTCATAGCGATGACACTGTGTCTGACCTGTCTATTGGGAGGCTGTTGGCAACGCGGTTTCGGTTTTTGTTGTCCCCAAAAGCAATTTTCAGACTACATTTATCGGTAGAAAGATGCTCGTTAGATTTGATTTTATTAAGGCTAAAAATAAAGATTCGCTAGCACCTCCTTCAACCAATAACACTGCCATTAGCTGCTACTGGCAAGAATAATTTGATCAACCTTCCTTGCAGAGGCACAAGGCCATGCTGTGAGCTTATGCAAGCGGTCTGCACCCATTTATCGGCAAGGCTGAGTGTCACTGCCTATAATCTCAGCTTTTCGATTTACAATGCCCTGATTATGCGATGGTTTTGCGTGTTACCATGAATGTTGTATAATCAGGGTTCCACTTACGTACGAGTATAACTGGTGTATAAATAATGAACCAGCGCAATATTTACGTTTTTTATTTCCCCTTAACGTGCTCCTTTACAAAAAGTGGGAAAGCATTTGTGACAATGCCCTGGTTTCAGTATTGAATATCATCCTTCAGTGGGAACTGAAAGACAATGGTGACAAGCCATATTTTTGTAGCTAGCCACACTGCCTTGTGAACTCGATGTGCGAGTATACTCGCATTAGAGAGCTGTTGCTGCTTTTGATACCAGGTGGCGTGAGCAGTGCATTTCTTTCTTCACTGTTTATTTAAGTAATGTTTTTTGGCAGATGAAAATTGGCCTGAAAACATTAACCAGATCAATACTACCTTGTTGCCAAAAGCAAGTGGAAAATGCTTCCCGCATTTCGGAGAAGCCATTGCCGCAGGCAAAATTTGCTTTTGGAGCAGCTACCTCTGTGTTTGGAGCACGCATGGGCTCTCATATAGGCATGCCCATGGGAGGCGGGGGGGGGGGGGGGGGGGGGGCAAAGCTTGATTCATGCATCGACATGATACAGAAGGGGATGCTGCGATGAACCTTTGTCCCCCCCCCCCCCCCCCCCTGAAAGAAACCTGAGCATGCCTATATGCACCCCTCCCCCAACAAACGCACACATTCGAAGCTTTTTACAGTAAAACCTTGTTATACGTACAGCGCCGAGAACGTGGCTAACTGCGCCATAAATTGGTATGCATTAACCACCCAGTATCAATATGCATCTCTTTACATGCACCATTGCCACTAAAAAAGGAATAAATGCAGTGCCACAGCGAATATGCCTAAATTGCCCACTACTAAGCCATTTATTTCTGTTTGCCAAATTTCAGAGATGACTGGCACTCTCGCACGGTCGTCCGATGGCACGCGGTGGCAACATAAAGGAGCATTTCGAAACTACTGCGGAGTCCGGGATACAGAGCTGACGCAGCAACTGGCATAGCGACGACACGGACATAAGCGGCTGTTGGCGATAAATGTGTGCTGCGATTTGCAACTTCGCGAAAACAGACACCTTATTTTGAGACACGGTATGGTCGCAGGGCGCCAATTGTCTACTGGCTATAGTTGCCTGCAGCACTTAGCCTACTTGGCATACCACCGTGCCCAGCCGCTTACGCCCACTCCACTTCAGCCCGTGCACAGATGCGGCGAGAAAGCTATTACGTTAGCGCGATGATACGAGCTTTCTGAAAGCGATGCTCTGGAGGTTCTGGCGACTAAGGCGCATTTTGGCTGTCGCCCTATGAAAGCATGCTGTCTCGGTGCCTGCGATCCACAACTATTGACTCTGCCACAGAGAGCTACTTTTGTTTTTGCAAAGCGGTGTGCGCGCTGAACACAATCCCACAACGATCGAGGCGGCAGCGATTGGCGCCCCTGCGCGCTCAGGTAGTCACCAGCTAATAAAAGCGTGCAGTAGCCTTAAAGCGACGCTACGCCTCACACGTAGGATTTTCATCGACGATATCGTACTGATGCACTTTTCGGTGGTCGCCAATTTCCCTTCGTTCTTTGCCAGTGATTACTAGAAAAGGCACGGCCGCTAATTCCAAGCTCTTGCAGCGACTCGATTCTTCCAAGGCAGGAAATTTTTGCAACGTGACAAAAAAAAAGTACTGCTGCTGAAATTACATTTGTAGAAAGCATATTGATGGGCTTTCAACCCATTGTACGTAATATCTCAATCAATCATGCTAAATTATGGCCATTTTTGAGACAAAGGCCCCTTTCTCTGCTTTAAGCAGACTTGCCTCTCAAAATTCATCTCAGTAGCAAACATTTAATAAATCAACTTTTAATAATATATAATAATATTAATAATATAAAAAACACTCACTCTTGCATGTCTCACGGTCCAAGTCTTTGATAATGCCAGCAAGGATAACCATCTGTGGCATACCTATCCCAGATCTGGGACAAAAACATCCAAATTATTTCAGATAATGTTACAAGGGCAAAAAAACCAATAAGATAGAAAAGCATAAACTCACTTGAGATATGCCTGTACTGGCTCAAAGTTGACTAGGTAGGCATTGACAAAGTTGAGGACTTTTGTTGACAACTGGATATACTAAAAAGATTAAGAAACAGTGCACAGAGTGTCATGAAATGAGCCACTGGAATAACATCTCAGAAGTACACAAAAGTAGCAATATGTGTTCTTAGTATCGTATCTCCAAGAAATATTCCTCAGCGAAAGTAAGAGCCCAGAAAAATTAAGATGCACACATAGTGCAGTTTCATTGTTTGGGCCCCGTGTGTCTTTTTTGTATTAAACTCACACTAAGGAGAACCTATCCAAATCTCTGATGCTAGTGACAAAAAGCTTACCCGTACAGGGGGGGGGGGGGGGGAACACCCCACAAGCATAAACATCGATGTTGCTTATAATGGCGTGGAGTGGCCGAACACGCGAGGTAGGGTTTCCCAACTACAGAAGTTGCATTTCTCAAAGAAGGTGATCGAATATTCGCATGTGCCGAAATTTCGCATCATCAAAACAGCTAGCAAAATCTATTTCTGTCAAAATAACTCATGTATCTTCCAAGGACATACATGAAGGGACATGATGGCGCAGCCGACTGCTGCGAAGGTGCAGGTCAAAGCTGCTCGAGGCCAACTCAAAACTGAATGCCGAAGTACCGTATTTACTCGATTCTACCGCGCCCTCGATTGTAACGCGCACCGATTTCCACGACGAAAAAAAAAACCCGTAAAACATCGATTGCAACGCGCACCCAATTTTCTCGCTGGCCCGCACGATCACACCACTCGAAAAAACGACTCCTTTCGGGAGCGTCTTCCATTTAAATATGAGGTACGGCGAAGCTTGTGCCCATCTGACGTGTAACAGAGCATTGCCGTCACTGTAGTTTTACCGTGGACCGATGTCAGCACGCGAACTTGCTCGCCCCCTTCTTCTCGACAGTTGTGGTGCCAGGCATGTCGAAGTAAGAGGCGTCTGATCGGCATTCCTGATTTGCCCAAGCAGGTAGCCATTGTTGTGCCGCAAGTTTAGGACGAACCTCTGAAACTGCGAAGCTTTTCATCGTACTCCTCCGCAAAACTTTTCGCATATGCGCGGTCGCCTTCCAAAGGAAAAGTTTTTCCTCTTCATAAAGGTAGTTAGCCAGCACCTGCTCGCTTTAAACTGGCTCCGCATTAGCCCTTTTTCTATTCTAAGGCTAACTGCAAAGCCCGCACTTGGAACAGTTCTGTCGTCACGGGCCGCCATGCCGCTCGCTGCTGAAGCACATACTCGCCGAGCAGCTCTTTAATTTGCGGAAACCGACCTTGCTGTGGTCCACTGAAGCCTTTGCGTGAAGCTTTGCTATCGACAATCTTCTGTTTGTTTCCGCCAGTCCCGCACGCACGTTTCGGGAACTCCGAACGACCGCGATGCAGCCCGATTTACGCCGTTTCAGCACACGCAATGACTTTTCTTTTAAAAGCGGCACCGTGGTGCACTCGTCGAGTTTTTGGAGTCGGCGCTTCCATGCCGTCAATGCTACTGCACACCAAGATGGCGAACTCCTCAGCACAGTACGAAGTGCCGCACATGGGAAACACATAGGCAGAAATGGCCGACGCGCCATGCCGACGCACGTAGGGGGCGGCCATTTCGGAATGCCGATGGCAATAGAACGACTGTATTCATTTTTTTTTCGTACTCGATTCTAACGCGCATGCGATTTATGAACTCGCTTAACCGGAAAAAAGGTGTGCGTTAGATTCGAGTAATTACGGTATATATCCTAATATGCTGATCGATTACCAAGTTCTTTCGACAAGAACGCCAAAACACCTTTAGCATTTTAAAATGTCTTTATTGCCATTCACCTACTGCTGCATTAGTCATGTGCTCTCAGAGCTCGTAGTCGCTATGCATTATCCTGAACACAGTTTCGTGCGCAGCGTTTTCGGCCAGCTCAGTTCAGTTTCCAATCTGCATGTGTTGGTTTCGCACGTGCCTTCCAAACCAAGTCGTTTTCACCCTCTTTGATATCATCTGCCGTGGTTTTCTCCACAGTGTTTGCAAAAAGCAGGTACACATTGACTGGCCGAGCGTTAGAAGCACGCATATTTCAGAGTGCTGTAAGTTATGTTGTCGCCATTCATAATTGCGTCAAGAGAGATGGCGGTTTCATCTACAGCGGTTGTGGCAAACAATTAACACACGCACTGTCAGAAGACTGTGGCCATGCGTGTACATACCATAAATACCCGCATATAATACAAACCCGACTGTAATACGAGGACATATTTTAGAGGTGCGAAATGAAAAAAAAAATTGTACCCGCGTATAAAAACGACGTAGGAAAGGTAACTGAAAACACATTTATTGAGCACACACCCACAAACATCAATCGCTGTCATCTTCAACTGCACTTTTCTCGAGCATTTCCTTGTCAGACAAATCGTCAAATAGGTGCTCGTCTTCTGTGCCATTGAGGGCATTAGAGATGCCGCACTTCTTGAAGGAACGACGCACAAGGTCCTCTGGGATGCTTGCCCAAGCGTCCACGATCCATTTGCATAGCGTGGCCAGCGATGCCCGTTTCAGCCCCCGGTCGGCGTCACTGCAGGCTCACTGAGCGCATCCACTCGGCGTAGCAACGCTTAACCGCATCCTTCAACGGATTATTTACACAAACGTCCAGAGGTTGCAGTTGAGAGGTCATCCCACGGATCACGACCAGTTCCGTGCCGCAGTCCCGCAAGAGCCTCTTCACTGAGTCGACCAAATGGCAACGAAACGCGTCCAGCACCAGAATGTAAGGAAACGAGAGCAGGGCACCAGGCCGTCTGCAACACACGACTTTACCCAGTCTAGGACAAGGTCTTCATTCATCCAGCCTTTATCATGACATCTCATGATGACGTTCCGCGGTAGCTCCTCCCTTTTCGGCATTGTCTTGCGCTTGAAGACGACATGAAGTGGGAGCTTGTGGCCGTCCGCCGTGCACGAAACATCCCTGTGACACACGTTTTTTTCTTTGCCGATGGTACGGACACTAACCTGCTTCGAGCCCTTCTCATGAACTGTAAGGGGCGATGGCATGTCCAGGTAAACTGGCGTTTGATCAGCGTTGCCGATTTGTCCCAGCTGAAAGTTCTGCGAGCGGCGCAACGTAATCACATGGCGTTGAAATGAGATAAGAAGCTCTTCAAAGGCTTCAGGGAGCTTCTGCTAAATGGAGGTTCGCCGGCGCAGGGAAAATCCGACTTGGCACGTTTAATTGTAGATCCAGTGCTTGCTGGCTTTGAAGTCCAAGCGCAACATCCCCTTTTCTCTCGCCAGCTCCCTCGCTTTCATCTGCATCAGCTCCATGTTGACTGGCAAGTGCGCCGCTCGCTGCTGTCGAACGAACTCTGTCAGTCCGAGTTCAATCTCTGGGAAGGCCCCCTTCTTTGGACTGCGAAAGCTTTTTCGTTTTTCGCTGCACACGAAAAGCGCTTTTTTCTGTCGTTGCCATCCACGGACACTTCCCTCGGTGACTCCGAACTGTCTTCTGACCGCACCGTTGCCGATTTCCTCGGCAGCTGCGATGACCTTTCTTTTGAATGCAGCGAGTACTGGTTTCGGTGCTCTGGCATGTTGCACCTTTGCGAAGTGAGGCACAGAATACAGCGAGGTTCACAGGTCCCGCCGTCCGCTGTCTAAGCGCCCAAAAAACTCAACAACAAAGAGAGAAATGGTGCTAGCGCTGACTTTTAACACCCGAGGGCGCAAAGATAAAAAGCCAAGCCATAGCCACTCGTAGACAAAACGAAGCCGTAGCCAAGCAGCAGTTATGAAACCGAAACTTCAAGCACATTTTGGTTTTTTGAGCAAGTTTTCGTTCGGATCCGCACATACAGCTAAACCTCGTTATAACGAGATGGGCTATAACAAAATAATGGATATAATGAGCGAATCCTAATTCCCCTTGAAAGTCCCCATACAAATCAATGTATTCAAAACCTCCTTTTAACGAGGCAAAATTTGCCTGTTATGGGATATAACGGACAAATTTTGTTAGGAAGTAAAATTTTGAGCCGATGTCACGACAGTGCACAATGCGAATTCGAGACGGCGCGAAATGCGAGAACTGTATTTAGCAGTTCAAAACTCCCGCCACGCGCCCTCCAGCAACGCGCAAAGCAGACGGCACGCGCTGTTTCCGGAGGAGAGTCGCTGCACGTGCGCCGCTTGGCTACCACCGACAGCGGAGCGCTCCGCAGCTCCGCGAACGTCTCGCCCTTTTCTTTTCTTTTGTGTCTTTTTTATATTCTCCCTCTCCCCTTTCTCATGGCACTGAGGCGCGCTTCCTAATCTTACATACTCCCTTCCCCTTGAGTAACCGGTTCCTAGAGGGCAGCGCAAAAGAGCACCCCTTCTGCCCCTTCCTCTTCACAGTCACTTTCTCTGCAAGTGTTGTCGCTCGCCGATGTGAGCCACGTTGCTTTTGCGTGCGTGTTCTTCTTCTTTTTCGACCGCTTCCGCCTTATCTTTTATCGTGCTGCGCTCGTGATTCCAGCAACATGAATGCGCGAGGCGGGAAGCGAAAGCGCATAACGCTAGATCAGAAGGCGGCTATGATAAGAGCCGTTGAATCGGGGATAAAGAAAGGCAACGTGGCAAGAGACTGGCGTATAGCACACTGTCAACCATCTTGAGTAAGCAGGAGTCTATCATCGACGCTGTTGCACGTGGCGTGAAAAGAAGCGCTAGAAGGATGAGGGCACCTGCCTTTGAAGCGGTCGAAAGGGCCGTTTTTAAATGGTTCTTGGACACGCGGGCCGTGAATCTGCCGGTGAGCGGCGCTTTGCTGCAAAGAAAAGCGAGAGACCTTGCCTGCATCATGGGCTATGACAACTTCGTAGCAAGTTCGGGTTGGCTCTAACGCTTCAAGGAGCGCCACGACATTGTGGAGAGCGGTCTGCGGCGAATCGCAATCTGTCGACGAAGCAGAGGCTACCAAGTGGGCAAAAGAAAACATCGTGCGGCTGCTAGAAAAATACAGCACGGAGGATATTTTAACGCGGACGAATCCGCTCTCTTTTTCAAGATGTTGCCGCACAAGACGATAGCCCTCAAAGGCGAGCCGTGCCATGGCGGCAAACAAAGTAAGCTGCGGATCACTGCGCTACTTTGTGCAAACATGACCGGCTCTGAGAAGCTGCCAATTTTCGTAATTGGCAAAAGTGCATCCCCTCGCTGCTTTAAGGGGAAGAGGCAGCTCCCAGTCAAGTACGTAGCCAATCGCAAAGCCTGGAGGACGGAGATTTTTTCAAAATGGCTTTGCGAATGGGACGAGAAGCTGGCAAAGGCGGACTGCAAGGTGTGCCTTGTTTTAGATAACTTCACCGCCCACCATACCGCTGCCGTGCTTCAAAAGATCGAGCTGCTGTTCCTTCCTGCCAACTGCACAGCAAAAATACAGCCGCTCGACCAAGGCGTGATTATGTCGCTGAAGGCAGGTTACCGCAAGCGTGTGATAGACAAGCTCCTGCTCAACATGAGGATGAAGCGAGACACTGATGTTGACTTGTACGCTGCGCTCCAAATGCTTCAGGCGGCGTGGATGAGTGTGACGGCGACCATGATCGCAAACTGCTTTCGACACGCCTCATTTGCCGCCGCACCAGACGCCAGCGATGAGCCATCAGACGAGCCCACTGTGCCGGACGGTTTCGCCACATCAGACGAAGTCGCTGCATCATGGACGGCACTTCATGACGCCAGTGTCGTGCCTGACAGCGAGTCGTTTTGCGACTATGTGAGTGCGGACTCTGAAGTGGTGGCAACGGAGCAGCTCCTAGATGACGATATTGTGCGCGCTGTCAGTGATCGTAACGAAACCAGTGACGATGACTCTGTCGACGAACAGGAGACAAACGTGCCGACGGCGTCGGAGGCATTAGACGGTGGACGTGCTGCACCGCTACTTCGGCGCTCACGAGGGCGGCGAAGATGGCTTGAACATTGCGGCCGCAGCTGAGCGAGCCATCGTTCGCATCAGGAAGATGCATCAACGTCCAATTACGGACTTCTTTGCAGGTAAGTCTGCCTGAAATGCAAGCTGTGTATTCTGAAGTGCATTAGTTGATTGATTGATATGTGGGGTTTAACGTCCCAAAACAACTATATGATTATGAGAGACGCCGTAGTGGAGGGCTCCAGAAATTTAGACCACCTGGGGTTCTTTAACGTGCACCCTCTGAAGTGTATTAAAACAGGTGCATGACTTTTTCCTTTTTTATTTAAAATGCGGTTATTTTGTTGCATACCACCGTGCGGCGAGATGCTATTTCGCCCGCTATTTTTGGGGGTAAGTATAGTGCATAATATTTGCGGTAAATGCCCGCTACGGCTATAACGAAATATTGGTTATAACGAGCAAATAGCGGCAGCCCTCCAATTTCGTTATAATGAGGTTTAACTGTAGTACGAAGCGGAAATTCGGAATGCTAATATTTGAAAAAAAGAAACCTCATATTATACGCGGGTATTTTCAGAACTTCTAAAGCTTTGAGCACGCTGCTCTTAGCTTTTGTTCAATGGTTTCGGTACCAAAGTCCGTATCACCCGCCCTTTGAGGAAGTGTTCTGAATGTCTCAAATCTAACCCAGAGGACACAGTTAAATTTGGCTGGGGAATTTCACGAATTCGTATCGGCCGACTTCGTATCACTGAGACCCTACTGCACTATCAGCGTGAAATGAAACGCGAACAATAGTTTGTGTGGCCCAAGCATTAGCAGCAGTATTGGCCGCAAAATCGAGCAAAGTCGTTGCTGGCGGCAACTGGCCGAAGTGTGGATTCCTCAATGTTTGGTCTGTTAGCCACGTCATCTTTATATGCGCGCGTACGTCATGCATGTTCTCAAAGTGTGGTTTTTCTGGTCATGTCAGTGACCAGAAAAACCACCAGAAGAAATGTCCAGAAAAATGACCAGAAAAATGTCAGTGCGAGTGTAACTGCTTCTATGTATGCCTAAAACGACGTACAAATAATTTGGTCTTTCCCGGCTGCTAATGCTTTATAATAAAATCGCCAAGTGCAACTTTCCAGAGTAATGTTTATTGTCATTGTACCGTTCATTTACCAGAATAATTCAGAGTGGGTGCCGCTTTGTTTCAAGCACAATGCAAAATACTCTTGGCATCCTCCCACACATGAGCACTAATGAATGGTGCGTGAATGCAGCATTTTATAGCGACTCGGTTGTTGAAAAAAAAAAAGAAAAACAGGCTTTAGGCCATGCACCTGTGCGTTGTTGGTAGGTGTACAACTACGGCACTGTAGTTTATCGATCACACGAGGAGCCTTAGTGTTTATCTGACCGTGGTACCACTACATAGAAATAATATCACATAATCTGTGACACTTTGGTACTTAAACTGTACTTGAAACAGAGTTACCGTGCACAACCCTGTGCTTAGATTTAAAAATGCTTTAAAGAGCCCAGACGTTCAAAATTGCTTCAGACGGCATGCCTTATATATAATGTCATAACTTCACTGAAAATTTTACCTTTTTACATGTCTTCAGAGTTTGTGTGGCATTGTTAGTGACCGGTGGAAAGCAGTGGTCATTTTTTGTCCGAAAATAAAAAACATGCTTCACTTCTCCCTTAACCAGGCCTTTGTTGTAGCACTGTCATGCACATAATCCATCGATGAAAGCTTCCTGCTGAACTCTTATATAGAATTTTAATATTTTTACTGGTGCAAGAACATGAATGTACACGTGGTTAACGCAGTGTAGCGCAAAGCGCCATCAGCCACTAAGCTTTCCTGACTAGACTTATCGGCTTTCCACATTTCATGGTGAACAGAATAAGAAAAAAAAATGTATTTAAGGTGCGGACGGTGGTACTGAACTAATCGCACAGATATGCAGGTTTTCTACGATCTTTTTTTTGTTGTTGAAGTATGCAGATGACAAAGATGTAAATGAGTAGTTCAGTCACGCTACAGCAGTACATAGCAGGGGGAACACAAGCTAACCACAAACAAACAACACAACAAAGGCATGATTTAGTGCAAAAGCGTGAAGAGAGTCACCCAGGGGGAGCCTATGAAAGGTTGAATGCGCTTTACTCACGGATAATGGTAACGTTGCATAGGCTATCGACTGAGTGGAGAAGAGCATAGATATTACAGTAATCTGTAGTCAATGCATTTTATCCGCCCCAAGGGGCGATGCTGCCACCTATAGCCCAATCTTGCTGCGAATAGTGTGATCACCAATGACAGGTGTGCATATCCGGTTTGGCAGCATTGCGGGATCCCCCTATCACACAATATTATTTTCTTGCGTTCTAGTTCTGATAAGGTGATGATAGGGGCCAACATGGGCATGCAGAGTGCTTTTGGTCGTTTCAGTTTCATTTTTTTATTTTTTATTTTTATTATTTATTATTTTTTGCAGCATTTCAAAGATAAAACTATAACAGAAGCGAAAATACTGGACTATAGGGGAATCATGCAGTGAAGTCAGACTGGCTGTGCCGAGCGGACCTGTTTATGGCAATGACAGGAGGTGCACATTAGTCGATTGAATGTCCTTAAATACTCTTCTTTCTAAATTCTATTAGTGACTGGAATGCACTAAAAATAACAATATTCTCTGATTCTAATTTCCTAACAGCCATTGAAACAGCATTTTGAGCAGCTGAAATAACTCATATATTTAACGTTGGCTTTGTACTTCTCTTGGTTGTTGACTTTTTATATGTATAATTACTGCTTTCGTTGTATAATCCTGTGTTTTGTACTTTTGTTCTAATGCTGTACTACAAGTGTTGATTTCTCCTGTATACTGTAATGCACGATTTATTTGCTTTTAATTTTGCTGTTTTGTATTCTATTTCTACTGTAACCCCCTACAACAATGCCCAATGGGCGATGTAGGTATTTGTAATAAATAAATAAATAAATAAATAAATAAATAAATAAATAAATAAATAAATAAATAAATCACCTTCTGAAATGCTTACGACACTTGCTCGGCTGTTAGTGATTCATTAGACACCGACTGTACGTTTAGATGAACAATTTCTAAATTTGATTGCAATAAAATGCGATGGTTTGCAAAAAGCCTGGATACGATTGGGCTACATTTTTGTCAATGTGGCAAGATGACGTGCAGAAATTTCGATTTCCTGGAGATTTTCATGACAGCCATACAAACATAAGAACAAGATACTTGGCAGGTATGCTTACCCCATGTGGTTCCTCTTTGTCTGGAATCAGGGGTCGGCCATCAGCCAAGGAGCAGCGGACACCTCTGGTTTCTGTCACTTCAGTCTCGGCAACTCCCTTTGGCTGCAGTGGTCCTGGAGCAGGGCTATTTTCTCGTAGGGCAGTCGTTAGCTCATACCAGTGACCCAAGATGGGCTCGCTGTCATCTGCATAACAAAGCAACCATACTTGAGGATGCCATGTGCAAGTAATTGGCAGGCCTCTGATTACCAGTCCCGGACTCACCACGGGCTCCCCGAGACACCAGTCTGGCATAGTACAAATGTGCCTGGGATCTCAGCACATCAGTCAGAGGGTTGCTGGAACCCGCCTGTGTTTTTCGAAGCAAAGTCCTCGGTCGCCCTGAGGACTCACCAAGTTGCCCGGAGGTTTTCGTCCAGCTAGCAAGTGATAAAGAGACGCGCAAGTATGCGGCCATATTGAGGTAAATTCCATGCGCTCCTCTCGGTACTTTGCGTTTCCGCAGGACGTTACTGTGGACACTTCAGAGAATATAGGCCGCTTTTGCCGATCTCATAGCACAGAGAAATTCGTTGAATTCCAATGGCACAGTCAGAGCAGCCGACAAACTCCGTGAGAAAGCACATGACTGTGGCGTAGAGCAATGCCTCCAGACCAGCAATTAAAACACAACACATGTTGTTGGAGCAAGGTAGAAGCAAGAAGTCTATCTTTCGTTTGTTGAGTTGTCGAGACCTTGTATATACTTATTCCATTCTACAGTCAAATTCTATCCAATCCACATTGTGCACATCAGTTTTATTGTCTCTGTCACTATACGATGAATCCCTTGAGCAAAACCCCTTTTCTGACTCGGCTGCCACTGTCAAGCAGCGGAATTTGCTGACTTGTCCATGTCGTCCGCCATTCACCATCAAAACAAGCAACCACTGGCAGCACTTCAAAGTAGGCGAACGTGTTCAAGGTAATACGTCATGCAGAGTTCCGGCCTACTCAGCTGATTTTGGTAGAGCAACTTTCCTGCTCCACAGAGTGCCTACCATTCTGAATCCACTCCAACTCTCTCATTTGAAAGCTTGGCTGCCAACCTTAGTCTGTGATTGGAACACACTAACTCCAAAATGTGCACAAAAACTTTCATTACTCCGCCATTGGAATTCAACAATAGTTTAAAACCCAAGAGCTCTATATCTATACATCTGGATGCAGAGTGGAGTGCAAGTTCGCCCCATGACAAGATGCGCCACCTTGTCACTTTATTTCAGCTATTACCGTATTTACTTGCGTAATCCTCGCACTCGCATAATTCTCGCACCCCCCACATCACCCAACAAAAATACGATTTCTTTTTTCCTCAAGTAATTATCGCCCCCGAAAACTGCTGCAATAACGTCGTCTGCTCTTTCCAGCCACTGCTAATGATAGCGCACGCTATCTGGCGCCATCTCTAAGCATTAGGTGTACTATTGCACAGAGATTCAATCCAATTCAAGTCAAGCCGAAGCCAAGCCGAAGTGGCCAGTGTGTGTTGCGGCGTGTTTTGTATGTTGTGTCGGTAATCTTGCCACGTTATGAGGCGATATTGGAGCTGTACAGCTGCTTTGAAGTTACAAGTGATAGATCATGCACTAAAAACAAGGCAACAGGGCCGCCGGTAGGCCCTTCGGAGTCTACGAGTTTTGTGTTCGCTACTGGTGACGGCAGCTTAAAGCCACCAAGGCGCGATGGGCCTGCCGTGTGCCTAAATCTGGGATCGATGGTAAACTTTATTTCTTCAGAAGAAAACTGTGGACGATTCTGTTAAATAGCCATCAGCCCAATACTGACATCCCACACTTACCTTTTGAGGGCTCCTGTTGAGCGACACTACCGCTACGCCCGCAACGCCCGCAAGCTTTGCGTACGGTATTCTAATGCTCGACTATTTACTTCCACTTTTGTGTCTTAATAAATCTTGTCTTGTGTTGTATCTCTGCTTTTATTGTTGAGGTAAGTTCTAATTAGTACTTCTTAAAGCTTGCTGTAAGTTGCTGGTGTGAGAATCTCGATTTGCGGCCACTTCGTTTTCTTTTCGCTCTGTACGTTTTCGTGGAAAGTTTTCCCCGCGTAATTCTCGCACCCCCCAACTTTGCATCAGTTTTCCGGCAAAAAAAGTGCGAGGATTATGAGAGTAAATACGGTATTCCCTTTACAGATTTGATGTTTGAAGCAAGCTTTATCAATGTGAGCTGCTAGGTCTAGCATTAAAGAACACATTAAATTTCCTATTGCTTGTAATGCAACTCTTCTTGTATAATACTGAGGGCAGCCCTTTTCCCTTATGTAGTATAGTGTCAAAAACCCGCGTATAAAAACCCGCGCAGGCAGTTAATGAAGATGCTTCTGTGACGCTGAAGTAATCAAAGTAGCTCAGACACAAGCACATCAACTCTATGATATGTCTATGAATAGCTCATCATTTCAATCGAGTAGCAAATAATGCCTTCGTTGCTAGATTATCTAAGAATTCATCGCACAGCCAGAGGTCAATGACTCAATTCTGTGGTCACACACCTCTAATTTTTTTCAAGGTAAATTTTTCTCTGTGACTTACATAGATTTTCAGAGTAAAAATTACAGAAAATTGAGATAAATTGAGATTTTCTTGTGGCCTTCATAATTACTTTTTCTGTGGTAGCAGACATATTACCATCTGACAGAAATGAAAGAAATTAAACTCATTAACCTATAAATTAGTGTAGATGGACGGTCTCGTCAAACCAGTGAATTGGAGCGCTTCCTACAAGAAGCCCATTGTTGCTTTGAGATTTTTAAAAGTCACCTTGACGATTTTACACAGTGATGAAATTCGACCAATTTCAGGTTAACGAAAATGTGGAAGAGCACTGCTGCCATACTCTTCCAAGGTAGCCAGAACAAGCAGGAGTACACTCAAACCTCGTTATAATGTAAGAGAATATAACGAAATAATGAATATAACAAAGTAAAATTCCCCTTGAAAGCTCTATTAAGAACCATGCATTTTAAACCTCGTTGTAACAAAGTAAAATTGACAGGTAAATAGATATAACAAATTAGTCTATCAACTAGTCTATCAAAAAAAAATTACCGTAGTGTTAAGTACAGTCTAATCTCGAAAATTCGAACTCGAAGGGGCCCGAAAATTGTTTGAATTAAAAGAAGTTCTAATTAATGAAAGCTAAGTAAACGGAAGGCTCCCTATGCAGGGCGCATGTGCATTGAGCTAACAGACGAGAGGGAAGTTTCAGAAGACTTACATTTATTCACAAATCACAGGACATCCATCATTAATTGCAGTAATCGGTGATGCACGTCTGCACACGTTTGCTTTGCAGCGAGTCAATTTCGTACGCAGCTTGCAAAGCATATGTCTACTTCGAGTTCGGGATTCTCCTGGCAAAAGAAGTTGCGCTCGGCAATGTTCAGCGCTGACACTAGATAAAGACGACAACTACGTCTGCATCCCCGCTACTACCCACTGCGCCAAAGCCGCAGCGTGGACAAGAAGGAGCATCATCTCCCCGCGAAGAGAAGCAGAACGGCATTGAGATAAACCAACACTACACGGCAGCTTTTTTTTTTTTTTTGCTCTCTTCGCGCGCGTTGTTGAAAGAAGAAGGGTTATGTGGCAGGGACAAGGAAGGGGAAGCGTAACACCAGCACGTCGCAGATCGACATTAGAGAGAGAGAGAGAGAGAAAGCAAACATTCCACCGCAGCCTCTTCTTTCCTTTCCTTTCCTTCGCGCGCAGCGTTGAGGTGTCGGAAATGCCGCCGCGAGATTGGGCGGGGTGCTGAGAGCATTTTCGGAGCGTGGTATGTTAGAATTAACCGTCGCAAGTGGGGTTATTGCTTGCGCATTCGAATTAGTGCTTGCGCGTTTGAATTACTGGGCGTTTTTGCCATTCAAATACACACAGCTTTCATGGGACCTCATTGTGAGTTCGAATTAACCGGAAGTTCGAATTAAGCGTGGTCGAATTAATGAGATTTGGCTGTTATTGTTTTCTGCGGAGTTTGAAGGTCGTTCGTCGCAGGTTTAAAACTCTCGCGCCCACCTTACAGCCACGCCATGCGCGACCGAGAGAGCCGTCCTCCTCACACAGCCAGCGGAGAGGATTGAGGAAGTGCTCCGAGGGTCACATAACAGAGAAGTGGTGCTGCAGTGCAAAGCGATTCCCTCTCACTTAAGAACACACAATGGGGAAGCTTCAGAAGACTTACATTTATTCACAAATCAGAGGACATCCGTCATTAATTGAAGTAATCGGTGATGCGCGTCTGCACACGCTTGCCTTGCAGCGAGTCAATCAACTTCACATGCAGTTTGCAAAGCACAGTAGCACGCAGCTAGGCCGACGGCAACAACTGCGTCTCCGCTGCTACTCTCTGCACCGCGAAAGGAGGAGTGTCTCCACGCGGAGAGAAGCAGATTGGCATTAGAGAGAGTCAAGTCTACGCGACAGCTTTCTTTTCTTTTTTTATCTCTCTCCACACGTAGCCTTGAGAGAAGAAGGGTCTCTATGTGCAAAAGCGAAAAAGAGAGAAGCATGGCACAGGCGTTTCCCATATAACAAAGTAAAATTTAAGAGAAAGCAACCAATCCGCCGCAGTCTTTTCTTTCCTTTTCTTCTTTTCCTTCTTCGCGCAGCGTTGAGAGGTGCCACTGGGGACTGGGCATGGTGCTGAGAGCACTTTCAGAGAACGGTATGTTAGAATTACCAGTCACAACTGCTCGCACGTTCGAATTACTGAGTGTTTTTGCCCATTGGAATACACATAGGTTTCACGGGACCACGCTTGAGTTCGAATTAACCGGAAAGAAGTTTAATTTAGCGTGTTCGAATCAATGCGTTTCGACTGTGTTTATTTTCTGTCGCACGTGTGGTGGCGTAGCGGTACATCGAGCCGTGAGGCGGTTTCCTTCTTTGCATGCTTTTAGGTGTGCACCCATCTGAGCATACATTGCCACAAAAAACCTGTTTAAGCAAATAATAGATATAACGAAATAATTGTGGCTCCCCTTCCACTTCATTGAAACGAGGCTTGAGTGTATTACATAACAATATACTTCGCTTCGTAAATGTGAGAGCTGGGCTTGCAATTATAACACATAGTGCACATACATTAATGAATGCAGACGACAATGCCGCTGCAGTCATCGTCAAGAACAGATGTCATTCCGATTTGATAGCTGAGCCCATCTGTGCTTCAGTTTTGGATTTGACAAAAGGAATGGACGAATTTCAATATTCCACATTAATTGCCTCCAGCTGCTTTTTCAAAATCTCAAAACAGCAATTGGCTCTTTAACAGTTTGACCAGACCACCTACCTCTAATAATTAAAAAGTTGATGACTTGAATTAATGATCATTAAATAAGATTATCCTTATCATAATAAAATTTTACCAAATTTCGAGGTCTAAAGATGCTTCG